CAATTTAGAGAAAATTGCAACTTTTGGCCCAAAGGTTTGAATAATTAAATTCAAACCTATAGTTTTTTTTTAATATAATTTTGGGACTTACAATCCCATTTTTATATTATTTTTCTCTCTTCCTCTCACGTTGCTCGGCGTTTTCTCGCAAGGGGAGATTATTTTCTTTTTCTTCAGGTATGTTCTAACTTTCCTGTTTGGATTAGTATTTAAAAATTTATTTAATTACAAAATTAATTTTATAGTTATTTTCTAAATAATATTAGCTTTCTAGTGATATGATTATTTTGTAGGATAAAGTAAATATTTTGATTAGGATTTTTCTATAGGATAGTTAATCTGATAATATGATGGATTAAAAATATAGGTTAAAATTCTTAGGGATATAGTAAATATTATAGAATATTTTCTTGAGGTTGAAACTCATGTTTAAGAATTTTTGAGTTAAAATCTAGATCTATATGGTTGAATTTATGTGGAATCTGAGACGTAGGGATAAACCTATGATTATTAAATATTTATTTAAGTATGAATAGGTATTTTTGAGGTTATAGAAAGGTGATTTGATGCTTCAGGATAATTCTAAAATTTTTAATTTATTTTTGGATGAATTTTTAGAATGTAGAAGGATGAAATTGTGATACTAGAAGTGAATTGAGGATAAAAAAAAATAGTTCATTAGGGTACGAGAATTTTAGAAAAGAATTTGGGAAGTTAAATGAGGCATAAATCTTAAATTAGTGTTAATATGGACTATAGATTTAAGACTTTCTAACTCTTTAAATTAGAGTTATTTATTTTAATGTAAAATTAATATATAGTATTGTGAAATAATTATGTAGATTATATTAACAAAGATAGTGGTGAAAAAGGAGTTGTGAAGGGGAACTTGTTATTCAAGACACAAGGTAACCATTATTAATGTGTTGTGATGGGTGTGTTTGTGAATGGTTATGTGTTGTTTTGTTGTTTGGAAAAATTATGAATTATTGAAAATAAATACTGTATATACTTGTTTGAAATTATTGCCAAGTGGGTTAAAAATTTATTTTTATTTATCATGATGAGATATTATTGTTCGGATATATTCCTGTTTGGATATTTGAATGATGCATGACTTGTCAGGGTATTTTAATGTATGGTGTTAATGGGAATTTTTGTTCGGTTAATTATTACCACGTGGTAAGCCCTCATTGGACCCAATGAGTGGCGTGTCGCTTGGTCCAACTCACCTTTGGCCGGGTGATTTGGCGTCCGAGCATGGTGAAAGGAGGATATAAGGTGCAGTCATGCAATTAAATACTTGTTCGATTTGTTTGAAAATATTGTTCGGTTAAATGTTTTGCGTGCCCACTTAGTAATCGCATGATTAGTTACATCCGCATGCATCATTACATATTAATTTTTGGTTACTGGGACTTTTACGTCTCATTCCCCGTGGTTAATATTTTTACAGGAGCGAATCCGGTCGAGAAAGCACCAGAGGTGTAATTATGGTGTATGAGACACCATCTTTTACGTTGCCTCTTATTTTGGATTATACAATGTATCTTGTGCCAACTTAGGATATATTTTGTCTATGGAGCATGTAAACTCTAATCCTTTTTATTAAATGCATTTATATCTCCAAGAGGATTATGTCTATCCCTTTTGATTCATGACCTAATTTGAATAACATACTATGAGGATCATGTCTATCCCTCATGGTTCTAATTACTTTTTAAAATATTTTAAAACCTGTGGTATATTGTCTTGGATGTATCATGGTAGAAATTTTTCTACCATGATAATGGTTTTAATAATTTGTGAAAAATCGGTTTGTAAATTTGAGGGTGTTACAGCCTCACCTTTCCCTTCTCTCCTCCTCTTTAACTTGCAACATACTTAATGAAATTCTCCATTCACCATGGCAAAAGGGTTTGCTCGCCGGAGTGGATGGTCAAGTCTAACCAAACATGGATCGGGCCTTCCCTTAGGGTCCAAATGGCCCAATGACCATCCAAGCTCAATCCAAGGCTGCTCCAATTGATCCAATAGGCCTATTAGTGATCTGAAAACTCGATAAACTTAAGTTATTTATTATTTTACCAATTAAATCACATTAAATCCTTAATTTTAGAATTTGAAAATTTAAGATGTTACATTCTAAAATTTTTCTTTATTAAATTTTTATACTTTAATAATATATTTTCTCTCTCCAACATTCAATGGAGGTTAAAAAGAAAAATTTATAATAAAAATTTAATAATGTGACTTACAAATAGGATCAAAAAATTTTTTATCTCTACCTTATAAATAAAACCAAGAAATTTGTTACTTTATGCATTTTAAAATACCAAAAAATAATTTATTATTTACAGACATGTGTTATCCCCACATAGTTAAAATTTAAATTTAAATAATAAAATATTTTATTTTATAGTTTGTCACTTAGCTTTATATTATGTTATACAATTTATGTAATCTAGAAATTAATTTTTGTATTTTTTTACTTTATTTTATACAATTAATTTTTGTAAGAAATTAATTTACAGTTTATATTTTCTAAAAATTTAAAAAAATATATAATGGTTGGTTACTGTTCAAAGAACTATAGATGAATAGTCATCAATCATTATACTTTAAAGATGATTAACAGTAACCAACCATTATACTTTACAATATAAGATGGTTCTCTGAAAATTTGATCTCATAATTAAAAAAATATGACATTTACTTCTTGTATTGCTATAATCATAAAACTCATTCACTGAACCTGAGCATAAAATTATGTAATTACAAATTATTTGAATACATCTTTGTTAAAATACAAAATGTTTGGGCCTAAAATGAAACGACAAAAAAAAAAGTCCAAAGGAATAAAGAAGAAACGTCAAGTCCAATAAATCATTCATTAAAGACAGGGCTCAATCCATTTCGAGGTAAGCTTCTGAGCTAGGCACATGTTGAGTTAGCTAAAGTAACCTTTAAGATTTAAAATGACTAAGTGTGAAAGATCATTATTTAGATTAAGCAAGCACTAAGTTATGAAGGAAACATGACTCTTAAGATTTTGAGCGGCTGAGTTAAGAAGACCGTTACTTGAATGTGCTTTAAATCTCGAGAAATCGTGCCATGCATAGCGAATATTTTGAAATACAAGCTTCGAGTTTTGTGAAACCAACAAATTCAAGCCAATAATATACACACAGTTCCAAACAAGGAAAAAAGCAATAACAAATAACTAACTACTCACTCAAATACTTTGTTACTCAGATTATTTTTTACTTTATATTTAAAATTTAGTTCTTATTTTAATTTTTTATCACTCTATAACTTAGTTCAATAATGAAAATATATTTTTTTAATTATCCTTACATATTTTTTTTAATTATCCTTACATCTTTGTATATGGGTAAATTGAGGTAAGAGAGCCTAATAATCCTTTGTTCTTGTTTAAAACTTCATATTTCTGACATGTTTGATAATTATATTGTTCAAATGCACACGGACAATTTATGATGAATGGAAAGGAAGTTAATGTCTCTTAAACAAAGAATACATACATACATACATACATACATATATATATATATATAAAGATTTATCGAGGTTGGCTAGAATATTGTTGAAAAATGTCCTAGCTTGGCACCTTTTTATAGTGTTGGGATGGGAGCATAAATGGGATGAATATGCTTTGTCTTTTTCCCGAAGTTATTGGTGTCAAAAAGAGCAGTGGAATATTTCGGAGCCACTCGTGAGTCGTGCCACGTCTTCTGTCTTCACGCCGCCCCCTCCTCAATTCCAATTCTGCATTTTTTTCAATTCTTAATTCTCCAAAGCTTTTGATTAGTCGATTCTCCTTCAATTATTTCCCAATCTATGTTAATGTAATTCGCACCAAGTTCTTTCTACCTACACATTGAGGAATAAGTCCCTTCGAGATACACTTTAAATATTCGAATCCCATGTTCCCACTTCATCGCTGATGCAAATTTACATCACACGTTAAACTTTTAATTGAACTAAGTTGTGGGCCAAGATTTACAGGACTATGAGATTTTTTTGGGACCCAACAGGACTATGAGATAAAACAACTTCAGAACTTATAAATGGGACACTTTGCAAAAAAAATCAATAGCATTAAATTTTTTTTCACAAATACTTTTATTAATGAAAAAATAATAATAAAATTTCTCTAAAATGTGTAAATGATAATTTAATCTCTCAAAATACCATAATTCTCTTGAAGTCTCTAAAGACTTTTCGATCATTAATGAATTTATATAAATTATTAAATTATCTTTGTTGAAAATAAATGATTCACAAATTTTATTTAAATATTCATAACTTTTTTCTTATATTTGCAATAATGCAATATCAAATAAGGAATTAATATGTGAAGTTGTGATTTGCTATTACATTATTGTGAATATAAAAAGAAAAATTATAAATATTTAAACAAAACTTATGAATAATTTATTTTCAATAAGAATAATTTAATAATTTATATAAATTTATTAATGACAGAAAAGTCCTTAGAGACTTTAGGAGAATTATTGCATGTTAAGAAACTAAATTATCATTTATACATTTCAGAGAAATTTTATTATCTTTTTTCTTTATTAATTGTATTTTAAAAATTATATAAAATAAAATAATTAAATTTGACGTTAATTGAAGGATAATCTAAAAAAATAGTTGTAAATTTTTTATCATTTTTATAACTTGGACCGGAGGGATTATATATTGCATAGCGCCATATTTATGCCAGATCAATGAGAAAGCGTTGGTTACCTTGCAAGGAGAAGCAGGGCGTCAATACGAGCAACCTTTACATGCACCATCACAGATTTAACTGTTTTTGCAACTCTCAACCCGGTTAATGATAAGTAGAGATTTTGGGGAAAAGACAAATTTGGGCTTCCAGGAATCCATGTCATCTATGTGGCTAACCAATGGAGGTCGAGAGCTCTATTTGTATTTTCAACTCCAGAAATAGCAATAATAATGATCCAATATTTTGGTCAAAAATAAAATAAAATAAATGATCCAATATTGATACATACAATGTGATACAAGCACAACACTTCGAGATTTCACAACAGTCATTACACTATATTGTGGCTTGCCACTGAGGATTCCGTGGCAGTACTGGCACCGGAAGACTCCTGGTTGTCGGACTTGCCAGCGTGTCCCTTGGACACGGGGGCCTCCTCCGCGAGCGCCACGTCATGTTGCTGAACCACCAGCACCGATGCCTCCACTCCGTTCTCTGACGACGACAGAATGTCCCCTATCGGCCCCAACTCTGCGTGCTCCGCCTGCCTCTCCGCCAGCCCCGCCACCATCCTAGACGGAAACCTCCCCTTCCCCACTACTATCAGATCGTAACCACCGCCTCTCCCTATTGCCATCACTTCCTCCACTATGTTTCTCCCCACCTTCTCCATATACACCGCCACTCCCTCCCACTTGCTCCTGAACTCTGCCACAGCCGCCTCATCCATCTCCTGCACCCACCAAATACTTGCCATCATTTTCTATACTTTTAGCAATAAAATAATCGAAATGTGCACTGTCATCCTAATTTGGATTACCTGCTCCGTCTGGCGGTCCATTTTGGCGGTGGAGAAGCTGTAGATATTGTCGCTGATGTTCCTCGGCCTCGGGGAGTGGCGGACCACGAGTTCGGTGCTTCTTGAGGCATCCCTCTCGGCCTCAACGAACCTCACCACCGTCACCTTAACCACGGGATGTTCGGCCATTCTTGAGCCCAATTGCAGGGCCTCGCGATCATCGGGCCCGCCAAAGAACAGGACGCAAACATTTTGGGCCACAGTAACATTTGGGCCTGGAGTTTGGTACCCGTCCCCAAATCCACGGTCCACCAGCACCGCCACGGAGCAAGGCGCGTTCCTCATCACTCTCTGGTTGACAACTCTCCACGCATGGCCCACATTCTCCATGATCTCGTGACTTCCTTTGTCCTCATTCTCCCGCTCCATCCTCCTCCACTGTTTGTGGAAGGGCAGGATAATCATGGTGACCCTCTTTTCCTCCGCCACGTGGCATACGTCCTCGTGCATGGTGGTCAGAGAGGAGATCGCGGTCGTGGGCCGGACGGCGACCCGGCCCAGTTGGCTGTAGGCCTGGAAAGCCCCAGAGAGCGGGTCGTGCCAGTGGGCGCCGTGGTAGCGGTTGAAGAAGGGGAAGCCATTCCTGCGAGCACGTTGAGCTAGGATGATGGAGGAAGAGCGTTCGGTGAGCTCCACGAGGTGCATGATGAAGAGCTTGAGGGAGGAGTTCTTGGTGCTGCGAGTGGACTCGATGAGGCTGATAATGGAAGGGACGTTGCCGGGACCGTGGACGCAGGCGAGGACACGGAGTTCGTCTGAGACGTCGTTCTTGGAGTTAGAGGTGAGGTCGCCGAGCTTGCGGTGGGTGCGGGAGGAGATATCGCGAGCGGGTTTGTAGATGACCATCACTGTTGGGGTTGTGATGAAGGTGGTGAACAGAGCCATCAGGACGAGGATGGCGAACATCTCGTCGTTCAGAACCTGTAAACAGTGGACGGATAATTACGTCGTTGTCACGTTCTATTTACAAGAAACAAATTAAAATTTGATTATTGTTAGGATGTGTTTATTATTTTGTCGTCATTGTGCGAAGTGGTGGAAGGAGATAATGGGATAGAATGCCGTCGCTTAATGGAGATTAAGATGTGACACTTGTTTTCCCAGCCCAGATGTTTTGGCCATGATCTGCAATGCACCTGCTTTGTTTTCTGACAATGGATGAGTATGAAAGCGTGGTAGAGACGGGAAGTGAATGCAGGGAAGGAGGCGCGCGGATTTTGGGGTTTGACTTTGCAGCATGAGCCGTCCACTGGCATAGTGCACTCTCCGGGACCCTGCGCACGTGACTTAGCTCCAGCTGCATTGTTATTACTTATCATTGTGTATCCATATATACATACTATATATATAACGCTTGTTTGCAAAGTATGACTTCCCGTTAATTTAAAAAAGTTTACAAAATAAGAAAAGTTGGTGCTTGGATAGTATTATCCTTCCATAAAAAGAAAAGGGAAAACCCAGCTCAAACATAGCACATGTCAGTGAAACATTTCCGTGCATGGATTTTTTCAACTCTTGCCTCCAAATTTAATCTTAATCAATCCTGTCATTTTCTTTTTTAAAAAATCAGCGTTATCTACTAACAAGCCAATATTTCTAATAACAGGAAGTGAAAAGGGTGTCAAAACTTAAAAGAAGGCAAAGGGGACGTAGATTGCATATGATTCTCTTCAGGACGCTTTGTGAAAGTTCATATGCCCCCATAAAAAAGTAATGCCTACGAAATTTATTTTTTCCAAGCGGAAGTCCGAGAAATTTTCACTCTTAACATTTTTTTTTAATTTTACCAGCAAAATATTACTAACACTAAAAGACAGGCTCCATAAATTAATAATTAATTCAATTTGATCGCCTGTCAACCAATTTCTTTAATCAATTTTAAAGGTTAAATAATTTGTCAATACAGGACCGTTTCTTTAAGATTAAAAAATAAGTAATATTTAGAATAGATTGTCCAATTATTTTGATGCAATCAAAAACAAATTTAACTCAATGGATCACATCGTGTTAGCCCATAATTTCTCCCGTCATCAAATTCAATCCACTATATTCATCAAATCAGTCACAAACTACCAATTTTCAATATATCAATATATATAAATATAATTAAAATTGATATGCCTCGTTTACAAATCATAAGTAAGATTAGGTACATTTATTTTGAAGTTTTGTGTAATGCATGAGGAGGACTTGAAGTTTTGTATTTTCACTACTAATAAAAATATTTCAAGCCAATGAAAATTCAAAACAATACTACAGCACTGTTGATATTTTCAACTCATAATTTATAAATTTTTAAATAATTAATATATGAATTCATTATTGTAACATAGCAGTAGTAAATGATACTATTCTCAAATCATAGACAAGGTTATTGGGGGAAAAAAGGTGCTAGTGCTTAGTAGATGTTGATTAAATTGAAGGGAAACAGGCATGTTTCTCGGCCACGACACAGCGGCCAATCAAGTTGTAACTGGCTAGAGCATGGCAATCGACCATTCGGCCAGCGCAACACAGACAACAAATACTAAATTAAGCATATTCATACTACTAAGTAATTAATACTCTCACTATTTTAAATTATGTGACACTTTAAAAAAAAATTCATCTTACAAGACATTTTAAATAAATTAATATTTTATTAAATACATTAATTTTAATATTATTATTATTTTTTATGATTAATCTTTATCACTTTTTTAATTATTAAATTATAAGTATTTTTAAAGTTATATTTTTATTTTAAAAAATAAAATTATTAAATCTATTTAATAAAATTTATTAATATGTAAAATTTTATTTAAAAATATTTTATAATTTAAAGCGAAAGGAATATATATTTTAATTGAAGTGCTCAATTATGATGATACCAGATATTTTTAATTGTAACTAAGGAAGCGTCAAAATGGAGCAAAGGGGGAAATAGGGAAGCCGACCTTTTTTTCTTTTCCAATGTTGAGTACGATGAGCTCCACCAGTCCTTTGGTGTTCATGAGCAAACCCAAAGTCAGAGCCTCTCTCGCCGGCATCCTACACAGTAACGCCACCGCGAACGTTCCCAGTATCTTGCCAGTGCACGCCGTCGATATCACCAGCACCAGAAGCCCCCATGCTTCCGCACCTCTGATTTTCGCCACGTCAGTCTTCAACCCACTCGAAGCAAAATAAAGCGGAAGAAGCAAACCAGAAATGAAATCCTCGATCCTCTCTATCAATCTGTCCGCAAAATCACCGCCTTTTGGAATGGTTAACCCGAACACGAAGGCCCCGAATATCGAATGGATCCCAATGAGGTCCGTCATGAACCCCGAGATCATCACTCCTGCCAGAGTCAAGCAAATATAAGCTTCGTCCACGGCATCATGCTCCGACGAGCACCTCCGGGCCACCCGTTTCATCACAGGTCGGATCACGACCGTCATGAAGATCACAAAACCAAGGCCCGATAGCAACACCCAGACCGATACCAAAGGGCTCTTCTGGTTTCCGGCGTCCCCCGCGAGAGCGACGGCGAGAGCAGCAAGATCCACGCGGCGACGTCGTTAAATGCTGCGGCGGCCATAGCAGTCTCTCCGACACGGGTGGTTAGGAGCTTGAGCTCTGCTAGGATACGGGCGAGCACGGGGAATGCGGTGATGGAAAGCGCGACTCCCATGAAGACGAGAAATTGGGCGAAACCAACCTTATCGGCTCCGTCGATGGTTTTGCGGAGAACGACGGCGACGCCGAAGCCGCAAACAAAAGGAAGGGAAATTCCGGCGGCTGCAATAGTAAAAGCTCTCCTACCACTGCGGCGGATGGAATTCAAGTCCAATTCGAGCCCTACGAGAAAGAGGAAGAAGAGAAGGCCTATGCTGGCGACGGATTCAAGAATGGGAGTGCTCCATGAAGGGAATACACGGTGCATGTATGTTTTGTTCCTTCCAAAAGCCGAGGGGCCTAGTACGATTCCTCCCTGTAGAAGAAGATAAAAGAAATGATCAACGTAACATGATTAATTTTCTGAGGATACGATCTTTGAGAGCGGGAGAGACACTTACGACAATCTCGGCGATGACTTTGGGCTGGCGAAGGGGCTTGAGGAGGAAGGCGAGGGAGCGGCTGACTAGGAGGATTAAGGTAGTTTGGATGATGAGAAGTGGGAATGCGTAGTCCAAGGGGTTATCGCCTTGCCAGGCTCCATTCGACGACGTTTTGATGGAGGTTATGTTGAACGCCATGGTTATACCTCTGCCTCAAGATGGCGAAGAAGAAGAAGACGACTTGTCAGAATAGCACGGAAAAGTGATCCCTTGATTAATGGAGGCGTTAAGGCACGTATATATAGATAGTGGGAATTCGGAAATGGTTTCGGTGGATGTTAATTACTGCTCGAGCTCTTATCTGAGTAAACACTCGACATCTGACACTGCGCTCATATTTACTACCGTTTGACCTTTCTGCCTATTAAAAATGCTCGCTCTTAATGTAAGGACTAAGGTAAATATATTTGTTTATAGTTTAAAAAAAATACAAGTTAAACAATCAAAATATAATTGATAATAATAAAAATTACTCCAACACAATGAGATAAATTTTTTATTATTATATTAAATATAAGCATTATTACAAACATCAATGAATATTTAACGTGACGTTTAAAAAATCCCTCGTAATTATTTAATGATGGGAGCATTACAATTTTGTTTATTATTTTAAAATCATCTTTGAAGTTTTAAATATTAATTATATAGTGAAGTCTGGTGTGCGTGTGTGTATTAATTATTAATTAACAGCGTTAGTTAAAAATTATAGATGCTTTTATATTAATGCAATATCTTGGATATCATTCTTTTTTATGATTCTATCTGTAATTTGTCGGCAAAAAATTCTACAAGGAAAATCATAAAAAGGTTGAGATAGAAAGTAATAGAGTTAGGTGAAATTGTTTCTACAAAGAATTACATAGAAGTACCATATAATATATTTAAATATTATATGGTCCATTGATAACTTAACAAATCATTTTTTTTATTCAATTATCAATAGTTTTTATAGTATTTAATTGTGTTGTGTGGCACTTCTAATCTGCGGGTAGCGCGCAGTTGACTTAGCAGATCCACGGTATTTAAAGCAGGGGACAAGGATGAGTTGCATTCAGAAGAAGTAATAATGAAGAGTCCGATCGAAAAATACTAGTGATTAAAAGGAGATGTGTAGATTAAATTAAACTTAAAATTGTGGCCTCATGCATAAAGCGTACTTGCTTGGCAAACTTCTCAAAAAACTCAAATTAATATAATCATGAAAATTTAAGAATCTCGTGAATTGAGTCTCTAGCTCTCCAAAATGCGTTCTTTCTTGTCGATCATGTTAAAACTTTAAACGCACCGTTGACTTTGCTACTTACCATGTTATTATTAACCCAAACTTTGCTACCATTTTTTTGTCAATAGCTCGAAATAATTATTAGATGTGTAATGCGTGCGGGTTGCCGATTGGGAAGGATTTTTTAGTAAAATAAAAATCAAACATATACATTTCGCAATTGATAATAATCTTAATTTTATAGCGGGGGGAATTTTAATTAAAAAACTCTTGACCATACTTATTTATATTTAAATTCCTTAAATATTTAAAATTTTACTGTAATTCAGAGATACTAATTTGATATTAAATTTTTTAAAAATAATAAAATTGCTCTTCATTGAAATAATATCACAACTATCATACTTCATTTGTTAATTGTTATACTTCATTTATTTATTTACTTATAAAATATTATTAATTACCCTACTTTACTTATTCATTTTTCTAAAATGAAATCAAGTAAAAGTATGGTGACGAACAAATGAAATAGGATAATAAACAACAACGTAAAAGTAAATAAATAACATACAGATAGAAATCAATAAATCATCTTAGGATGCTTTAAACACTTAAAATAAAAATAAGTTAAGTAGAATAATTAATAATATTTAATAATTAAATTAACAAATAAAATAAGATAATAAACAAGTGAAGTAAACAAGTTTTAATATATTAATTTAAATAAGAAGTAATTTTGTCATTTTTTTCAAAAATTTAATATTAAATTAATATTCCTAAATTGTAATGTAATTTTTTAAACTTAATAATTTTAAATGTAAATGAATGTAATCAAGAAGTCTTTATTAAAATTCTTTCAATATAATTTAATTATAATAGATTCAGGGTGCCTGCATGCCAAGAATCTCATGACGAAGTCGTGATGATATGGATAACGCTTTAATTTGCCACGTGAACAAAACTCTCTTTTAATCTGCATCATTTAATTTAAGGTCAAACCCCCCCCCCCCCCCCCCCTCCCCCACAACCACAACACAAACACTACCCTTTTTCCCGTCTTCCTCTCCTACCTATGTCCCTTTAAAATAGCGTGTGCCAGTTAGCCAGATGCAAGACTTTCCACTTTAGACGCGCATTGTCGGTCAGAAAAATACTATTGCACCGAAATAAAAGAGAATAAGTAAAAAAAAAATTTAACTGTCTTTGTTGAATGTATTTTTAAAAAAAGCATTTTCTAACTCATACATAATTTTTTACTCTACACATAAAAAATTGTGAAAGAGAAAATTTAAAGAAAATAATTAATAATTTATCTTTTTTGTTCAAACTTATAAGAGGATTATCATTTTTTTCAAAAAAAAAATACTTATATATAGCAACAAAGGGAGGGAGTATTGAAATTAAAAAAAAAAACTTTCTTTGAAAAGATTCACAAAATGAAATTTTATTAAATTAAAATATATTTGCACACGTGTTATCATTAAATCACGTATTGAAGTTTATATATCATTAAATTAAATTAAAATATATGTTAAATCCAGAATAAATTACGAGAAAGAAACGATGTCTGATCATTAATGTTAAGATGTAGAAATAACAGTATTACTTCTTCATATTAAAGGTATCGAACCAAAATTTTATCAAACTTTCAATATTTGACTTTTCTCGTTTGATCAATTAGTTTTGGATTAATATTCAATTTGAATTTTAAACAGAACAATTTAAACTGTAAACTTTTAAAAAGTACGTTCTGAATCCTAAATAGTTAAAGTTATAACAATTTTATTCCTACCATTAAATTTAAATAAATATCTATCAATTTTTTAAAAATTAAAATCTAATGTGTGATTTTCATCAAGTTTCACTGTCCCTCTCTCTCCAACCTTCATTTGAGTAAAATCACAAAATAGATCCTAATTTTTAAAAAACTAACAAACGTTTGTTCAAATTTAATGGTGTAGATGAAATTATCCAAATTTTAATTATTCGAAATTCAAAATATAATTTTTTAAAAGATTAGGGTTCAAATTGTATATTAACTCATTAGTTTTTATAATTTATCATTTTTAACTTTCAATAGTGCTACTTCGTTAACCAAGTAATTAATGATGATTATATTAATATAAACAAATAACAATGGCATTCTACTTTTTTTTTGAAATATTAATATTACTTTCAATTTTATGCCACACTATTTATACTCTTAAAACACACCCGTTAACAAAATCTTCAAAAAGAAAAAAGAAAAAGAAATAGCAAGAGAGATTCACATGCAGACTCGCTCAGTCACTTCTTATATATATTGGAAGAGATCAGTATTAATGCACAATACAGACAACTAATGCATCAATTAATCTAATGGTATCGGTGAATAATTACAAGAACAATACTTTTCAGAGAGGTACGTGGACAGACATGTAATGATCGACAACACAGCACAAATGTAGCAATTAACTTGGCGTCTGTTACGTTCCCCCATGATGGTTCAGATTCAAATTCAAAGGTGATTCACTGGACATTGCAACTATGTATGTGCACCACAATTGGCTTACCAAGAGCAGCCAAGTATGTGCGCGCGTGTGCTTACGCTTTTGGGTGATCAGGAAAATATAATTACATTTCACAACTTCAATCCTGTGCATGTATATATTACTTTATTTCTTATTCACAATAGTTATCCGTCCCTGTAACAGATTTATCCAAGCTCCCATACTTTCAAGTGCGTGGATCTGTGTTGCCAAAGGCCCCTCGCACAAAACAACTAAAAAAATATTCCAAGTTTAGGCAATATTTCTTGAGTTTAAACGTCAAAATTATATCTTGATCATGCCCCTGTCCCTGCTCTTCTCGCCTTCAAAATCACTGTGTAAACGTGCGAGAGAGAGAGTGTGTGTGTGTGTGAGAGACACCCCGAACACACACACACACACACACACTCTTATCACTTTTAGCGGTATATGAAATAGTGCTCCGTATGAATTGGAGAAGAGGGAGGCGCATGTCCGTGATACAGGCTTAACCAGAAAAGATGCTTTTCACGAGCTTTCATTTTCCAGTGATAATTATGAATTGAATATAGATAAAGTTGTATATTTATAGTCAACCCACTATCATAATTAGTTGACGCTCACATAAATCACTTGCTCTGCTTGCTATTTGCCTTTCAACCGCATATCCGCATCTATCAAAACGTGACTATGAGATTCTCTCTCTCTCCCTCCCTCTTTCATATTTATTTTTCAGGGTATTGGTGAGTATTAAATTAGCGAGACGTTTCTGGCAGCAAATTGCGATCGATCGCATCCAATACAAATGTCCCACCAAGGGCGGTTCAGAATCTTATACAACCACCAACCCATTTGCAACTTACCACACTAATATCTATATGTAATTATGCATTGTCTAGAGGTAGAATTCGCTGAAATTACACTAACGAGACAGCAATATCAGAATCACCAAAACTCTAATTATGCTGGAAAGATAACTGCGAGTTTTGTCTCCATCACAGTCTCTAGTGAATCGAATACATGATATGATTTTTATAATACGCTGCGTCAAGATCCCCCCTCCACTTGGGTAATTTACATATGATGCATGCATCGAGTTTATGTTTAGTAACTATTGTGATCCCAACTGCTTCACACCCTATCTATTGCATCAATCCACGGGATTAAAATAAGTGAATCAGTCAAAATGTCACGTAGTTGAAGACGTGTTCGTTGAAATTAACTGAGCCTTGCCCCCTCGATGCGGTTTCGTTATGCATTTTGATGCTAAATAAACCTAGTTAAAAGGATGCGTATTCTGCATCTGCGAGAAAGTTACATAATGCAGCCAACCAGTCCAATCGTTCAGACGTGGTGAAAATGGGCATTATTATTATTATTATTATTATTATTCTAAAGTTATGTCCATATACAAATCATAAATGTGTGTGCGTGTGCGCGCGCGCATATCCTGAAGTTCTGGGATTCCTCCAGCATTTAGATGATC